CTTCCTTTCTTTCTCTCTCTCTCTCTCTCTCTCTCTCTTTCTTTCTTTCTTTCTTTCTTTCTTTCTTTCTTTCTCTCTCTCTCTCTCTCTTTCTTTCTTCTTTTTCTTTATTTCTTTCTCTTTCTCTGTCACTCAGGCTGGAGTGCAGTGGCACAATCTTAGCTTACTGCAGCCTTGAACTGCTGGGCCCAAGCCATCCTCCCAGCGCAGCCTCCCAAGTAGCTGCAACAGTACTTCGGGCTGCAAGCTTGCACCACCCCTGCCTCACTCATTTATTTTATTTTGTTTTTTGTAGAGATGTGAACTCCTTATGTTGCCCAGGTTGGTCTCAAATTCCTGGCCTCAAGTTACCCTCCCTTCTCAGCCTCCCAAAGTGCTGGGATTACAGATGCGAATGAGCCACTGCACTGGGTCATTTCCCCTTTTTTTTTTTTTTTGCCGTATGTCATTACTTACTTTGTCCTGTCTTCAAGGAACCATCAAAAGCAGGTGTGGGAACTCACAAGTGATTGCCTATGTCAACAATTCCTCCCCAACCAGCCCTACAACCTGATTGCCCTGTGCCTCTGTGTTCTGGTTTCTGCTGGCACATGTCCACCAAGTCCTGCCATCCTTTCAGTGCATGAGTCATTTCCACTCACATCAAGGACTTTATTCTCTCACACAGCCTCTGCTGAGGCAAAGGGGATGGGGTGGGAAGACAGGCATGGTCGTCTGAGAAGCACGTTCTAGGTGAGATGTCTGCAGGTTTCCAGGTGAGGAAGGCTTCTCTCTTGCATCAGAGAGCAGGGCATTGCTTGTGCCAGCACAGAGAGTTTAACGGATCTGACGTTCAAGATTCTCAGACTCAGCTCATTCACCAGCCTCCCTGGCCTCTGCAAGGTCTGAGGGACCTATGCTTTCCTATGAGTGCCCTGATTTCCACACAGCAGGCCCGTCCTGCCTGTGCACGCAGTCTCTATGCACTTCTGCCTCTCTTCATAAGACCTTGACTGTGATTTTGAGTCCACATTGAGGTGAGAGTTGACTCATCTGAGCCTGTCATTTTCTTTTTTTATTACTACCTCGTATTCAAATGTATTTTATCTTTTAAATTGATAGAATTTTCAGGATAATTTTACATTTACAGGAAAAATGAAAGTATAGAGAGTTCCCATGTACCCCTCCCTTCACCCCCATGCACAGTTCTTTTATTATTAATGTCTTGCATTAGAGGGGTACATTCGTTACAACTGAATGAGCCAATATTGATACATTGTTAGGAACTGAAGTCCGTACCTTACATCAGGGTTCAAGGTTGGTGTTGCTCATTTTATGGGTGTGATACATGCAGAATGAATGACATGTGTCGATTCCTTTTAAACGATTGTCACTAACCTGATGCTTCACCATCACCTGTCCCCCATCCTAATCAATCACAGACAAGAGTCGCGAGGACTGATTGTACAAACCCACTCACCACAGCAGTGGCATCTTTATGGCCATCTGATTGATTGGTCAGTGCCCAGCTCTAGTATTTTATTCTGAGCATACTCCTTTCACCAATCACCGTAGTCTCTTAGGGCCGCCATTCAAAATATCACAGACTGGGTGGCTTGAACAACAGGCATGTACTTCTGACCATTCTGGAGGCTGGAGATCCAAGACCAAGGAGCTGCCAGAGGTGATGGGTTTCTTGGTTTCCTGTGACAGCTGCCTTCTCACTGTGTCCTCATATGAACTCTTCTTTGTGTGCCTGTATGTGGGAGGGGGAGAGAGAGAGAGAAAGAGAGAGAGAGAGAGAGAGAGAGAGAGTAGTTCACCTTCTGAAGTCTCTTTTTATAAGAACACCAATCCTATCAGATTGGGGGTCCCACCCCTATGCACTCATTTCACCTTAATTACCCCGTAAAGGCCCCATCTCTATATGCAGTCGCCTTGAAGGTTAAGACTTGAATACCTGAATTTTGGGGTGACATAAACATTCATTCCATAAAGCCAACTATCCTAGCTTAGATCCCCTGAAAGCAGAGGATGAGACAAAGGTTAACATGTGAGTAGTTTATGGGAATGAGATCTTAGGGCACAGAAGGGAAGAGCTGGGAGGGAGAAACCTGGAGAGTGGGAGGGACTAACTGAGGTGACCACAGTGCATGGCTGGGCCGCTTGCTGCCCGGGACCTTAAGACACATGCCTCAGAAATGTGTCTTGGATGGACAATACCCTTGCACTTCCCAGTTGCACATGTGGGAGTGCTGAGCAGGATTCTGTGGGTTCACCTGTGACACCAGGGAATCCCCGGGGAAGGAGTTAAGAAGTGCAAGGAGCAGTCATGAAGCAGAGCCTGTCTCGAAGGGCTGCACCCGTGCAGAAATGCATGCAGCCTATCGGAGCTGATCACGCAGCAGTGGTTGGAACAAGACAGGAGGTTGTGAGGATTGGAGGTAGGAATGCACAGAGGGTTGGTGTGCAACTCATTTTGAGCTTTACACTAAATGAATGTGTGCAAAACACTCAGAACACTGCTGGTATGTGTGACGGCTAAAGATCTGTCAACTGTGACAGTGATGATGATGATGATGATATTATTATTACATGGAGCAAAAAGAATCAAGCAGCCATCAACATACTCATCTACAAGATTGAGTATGCGTGTC